GAGAAGTCTGGCTAGAGGTTTATCAATTTTGTTTATTTTTTCACAAAACCAACTCTTGGTTTAATTGATTTGCTCTACAGTTTTTTTAGATTCTATATTGTTTATTTCTGCTCTGATCTTTATTATTTCTCTTCTGCTGGGCTTGGGGTGTCTTTGCTGTTCTGCTTCTATTTCCTTTAGGTGTGCTGTTAGATTTTGTATTTGGGATTTTTCTTGTGTTTTGAGATAGGCCTGGATTGCAAAAACATCTCATCCTCAGGTTGAAGAAGCAAAGAGGAGTGAGGAAAGAAATCGCTCAAAGTCTCTGCAGTAGAGATTGTGACCTGAATGGACTTCTGGAACAAAAACCACTTCTGAAATACATATGATTTCCACTCATTCACAGGCAGATCTATCCTACTTTAGGTCTTCAGAGATCCCCACTGTGCCAAGCTCAGGGTCTAGCACTGGCGGGAGCTCCACCCTGGGTTGCGGAAGTAATCCAAGTTACTGCTTGACTATGGTTAGCAGCAGGGTTATCAGCGAATAGCTCTCTTCCAGTCGGTCGGTCTGCCAAAAGCCGAGCCAGGGTTTTCACCGAGAACCCTCTTAGCAAGCTTCCCTGTTTCATTTTTTTGAGGAACCACCATACTGTTTTTCACAGTGGCTATACCATTTTACAATCCCACTAACAGTGTACAAGGGTTCCAGTTTTTCTGCGTCGCCAACATTTGTTATTTTCTGGGTTTTTTTTTTCTCTTTCTTTTAAAAAAAAATAGTTATTGCGTGTGAGGTGGTATCTCATTGTAGTTTTGATTTGCATTCCTTGATAATTAGTGATACTGAGCAGCTTTTCATCTGCTTATTGGCCATTTTTGGATCTTCTTTGGAGAACTGTCTATTCAAGTCCTTTGTCCATTTTTTAATTGGGTTGTGTTTTTGTTTTGTTGCTGAGTTTTTAGTAGTTTTTGTTAGTAGTTCTTGATATTTCTGGTTATTAACCCTTTGTCAGGTACATGATTTGCAGATATTTTCCTTTATTATTTTGTTTTCTTTTTTTACTGTGTTGATAGTATCTTTTGATGCACAGTTTTTAAATTTTTTTTTTTTTCTCAACGTTTATTTATTTTTGGGACAGAGAGAGACAGAGCATGAACGGGGGAGGGGCAGAGAGAGAGGGAGACACAGAATCGGAAACAGGCTCCAGGCTCTGGGTCATCAGCCCAGAGCCTGACGCGGGGCTCGAACTCACGGACCATGAGATCGTGACCTGGCTGAAGTCGGATGCTTAACCGACTGCGCCACCCAGGCGCCCCAAGATGCACAGTTTTTAAATTTTTCATGGAGTCCAGCTCATCTGTTTTTTGTTGCCTGTGACTTTGGTATGCTATCCAAGAAATCATTGCCAAATCCAATGTTATGTAGCTCTTTCCCTATGTTTTCATCTAAGAATTTTATGGTTTAGGTCTTGCATTTAAGTCTTTGACCCATTTTGAGTTAATTTTTGTATATGCTGTCAGATAAGAGTCCAGTTTCCTGCTTTTGCGTATGTATATCCAGGCTTTTCCTAGCTGAAAAGACTGTCCTTTCCCCATAGAAAGGTTTTGACACCTTTGTCAAAAATCATTTGACCAGGGGCTCCTGGGTGGCTCAGTCAGTTGGGCGTCTGACTCTTGGTTTCAGCTCAGGTCGTGATCTCATGTTTCATGGGTTCAAGCCCCACATTGGGCCCCACACTGACAGCACAGGGTCTGCTTAGGATTTTCTCTCCCTCTCCCTCTGCCCCTTCCCCACCCCCTCTCAAAATAAATACACAAACTTGAAAAAAAATCATTTGACTATATACACAAGAGTTCGTTCCTGGGTTCTGTGTTCTATTTCAGTGTTCTTACTATATTTGTCTTTATGCCAGCACCACATTATTTCAGCTACTATGTTTTTGTAGTAAGTTTTGAAATCAGGAAGTGTGAGTCTGCCAGCTTTGTTGTTCAAGATAGTTTTGGCTCTTCAGGGTTTCTTGAGATTCCCTATACATTTTAGGATGGGATTTTCTGTTTTTGCCAAAAAGAAAAAATGGATTTTTGATACAGATTACATTGACTCTGTAGATCACTTTGGATAGTATTGACATCTTAACAGTATTGTCTTCCAGTCTGTGAACATGAGATACGTTTTCATTTAATTTATGTCGTCTTGAATTTCTTTCAGCAATGTTTTTGTAGTTTTCATTGTACAAGTCTTAAACTTCTGTAATTAATTCCTAAGTATTTTTTATGCCATTGTAAATGGACTTATTTCTATAATTTCCTTTTTCAGATTGCTCATTGTGTAAAAATGGAACTGATTTTTGCATATTGGCTTTGTATCCTCTACTTTGCTGGATTTACTTATTCTGACACTTTGCTTACTTTGGGGGTGGAAACTTTGGAGGTTTTTACATATAAGATCGTATCTGTGAGCTGAGATAAATATACTTTTTCCTTTCTGATTTTGATGCCTTTTATTTCTCTTTCTTGCCTAATTGCTCTGGCTAGAACTCCCAGTAGTATGGTGAATGAAAGTGGTAAAAGTTGACATCCTTGCTGTGTTTTTGGTCTTAGAAAAGTTTTCAAGTCTTTCACCATTGAACATAATGTTTGCTGTGGGATTTCCGAATATGGTTTTTAACATGTTAAAGTAGCTTCCTTTTATTCCTAGTTTGTGTTTTTATTATGAAACTTTCATCATTAACTT